AGGCAGTCGCCGCCTCGTCCCGCTTCTCAGCTGAGGCGCCCCGCGGCCAGGCAGCAGATCCAGGCCTCGGCCGGCGCCGGGCCTCCGGGGCCCTCCCGGGCTCAGCATGCCCGGGGTGAAGCTGACCACCCAGGCCTACTGTAAGATGGTGCTGCATGGCGCCAAGTACCCGCATTGCGCCGTCAACGGACTGCTGGTAGCCGAGAAGCAGAAGCCGCGCAAGGAGCATCTCCCCCTGGGCGGCCCAGGCGCCCACCACACCCTCTTCGTGGACTGTATCCCCCTCTTCCACGGCACCCTGGCCCTCGCCCCCATGCTGGAGGTGGCCCTCACCCTGGTAAGCGCGGGAAGGGGCCTCCTTGCGAATCGGCGGGACAGGAGACGGGCTGGCGATCGGCTTCCAAGCAGTCCCAACTGGACTCACAGTGGTCCAGCCGGAGTCTAGACCCACCCCCAGGTCGCGGTGATCATGGACTGATGACCCGCGGGGGCGCGTGGGTCTTTTCCTGCACTTGGCAAGCGCCCCGCAGATGGCAGCTCGTACACGCAGCGGCCGAAGGAGCGACCTTAACGTCCTGGGTGTTTTTAGAGGTGCTTCAGGCGACGCATTATACATTAATTTCCTCAGACCAGTAGTCTTCATAGAAACAAGCCGTCGTTAATTGAGTGATGATTCGACACTGTATGTGGGATTTTGAGTCGCGGGAAGTTCTGATACTGCGGTTTGGCTCTTGCACACCTTCCCAGGGCCGTGGGTGTAAAGGCTGTGGTTCTTCCGATGTTAGTGCTCCAGAACCCCAGTTTCGAGACACGTTTAGAAAGGCAGCGTTGGCATCAAGGACACTGCTGCTCTAGAACGCGCGTGAGCGCTGTGTATGGAGAACTTGCCTGTTCTCCTTGGTAACTTATCTAGAACGCACCCTTGGTTTTAAGAGCTAAAGACTGGAATTTTAAAGCTGGAGCAGACATGACTTCCAGCCCGCACACTGCTGTGTCTGCTTTCGACTACGTTAATGAAGTACAGTGGGAAAAGATGTCGCGTAAGGGTAGACTGGCTGGTCATTGAATTCTAGGTAGTGGTTTTTGAGGTCTGGTAACCAATGAAGGAAAAAAGACCACCTATAAATTTAAGTTAAAACCTTAGGGAGAAATAAATTATAGCCTTGGACCTGCCTCTACCTGGGCTGAAGTACTGTTTTTCATAGACATGTAAACTCTAATACTGGGGGGAAAGAAAAGTTAGTTTATCTCTGCAAAAAAAATAGGTAAGTTTGAGAAGATGTAGGGAGGAATCCTTCTCTGTACCCATGAACAAGTTAAATGAATCTATTTCATAATTTAGCTGTTTATGACACCCATGTACATTCTTGGTAAACAAGAAGTATCTTTAGACAGATGGTCCTGGCCTGAGCTTACAGGGCACATCTTTGAGTGCCTGTTAAACTGAGTCATTATGTGAATATCATCTTGGGGCAGGAGATAGATAAGAAGTAGATGATATTTATGAAGTAAACCATTGTAGCTCCTGAAGGAATGTACTGTTGGTACCAAAATATCACTGGGGCATGCACGTATGTTTTCATGCATGTCTTTTCTCTTTTTTTCTTAGGCAGAGGGGAGGGGAAGGTTTATTTATTTATTTATTTGTTGGTTTGTTTATTTTTTATGGAAGTAATGGGGATTGAACCCAGGACCTGGTGCATGCTAGGTATGCACTCAACTACTGAGCTATACCCTCCCCGCTTAATGCACGTCTTTTCAACCAACTGTCTTGATTATTCTGTTATCAAGGGACTTGCAGGGTGACTGGATATGTGAAGTGCATTTATTTGCAGAGAACTAGATTAACCAGTAGCATTAATGCAGGATTATTCAGTTCTCCAACAGTGCCAGGCCGCTGCTGTGGGAGGGGTATGGCTGTGAAGTTGGAACTGTACCAAGTGGACAAGTACGATACTGAAGAGTAAGTGCCGTACGTGGGGTTAAGCAGGAAGTGGTGAGAGGTCCGCTAACCCAGGCTTGTAGGGTAAGGGAATGCAGGCCGCCCAGAGAAGGGGACATGCAAGAGGCCAGCCATATTAACTCAAGGGGTGGGGATGGAGGAAGAGCACAGCACTCAAGGCAGAAGGACCCACATGTGCAAAGACCAGAAGAAAATAGGGGGAGGGGTGTTTAGGGAAAAGCTAGAGTGTAGAGAGAGGTGAGCAGTGGCCTGATGCATTGTAGAGGGCCTTGCAGATCACACAGAGGAGTTTGGGCTCCGTCATGAGGGCAAAAGGAAGCCACTGGAGGAGAGTTGTGTGGTCAGATTTGTGTCTTGGTGTGATTGCTCCAGCCTGCACCAAAGAGGATGTTGGAAACAGGAGTGTCTGTAACACTAGAGGCAGAGAGGTGGCCTAAACTGAGTGCACTGTAGATGCAGAGGAGACAGACAGGGCCAGGAGGGAGAATCCGCAGCGTTCAGTGACTAATCCTGTGTGGACATAGGGAAAGGACACAAGGGTGACAGATACCTTGGTTTCTGACTTATGCATTGGGAGGACAATGGTACCATTCATTGAGGGAAAATGGAGACGACCTATTGTTGAAAGTTGAAAAATGGGTCTGGAACTTAGAGAATGGATGGGCTGGAGACATAGATTGGGAACCAGTAGCTTCTCAATGATTTTTGAAGCCATGGAAGCAGATCATATTGGCTGGGGCTGTGTGTAATAAGTAGAGAGCCATGAACAGAATCCTGAGGAACTCCAGCTTTCACAGAGTGGGTGGAAGAAGGGGAGTCAGCAGACTAACCAAGGTGTAGCCACAGAGAGTAGGAGGGAAAGGTGTGTTGCTTTAAATCCATAGAAAATCCTATCAGAAATATCTAGGAGCATCTTAAAGAACTTGAAACTCACTTGGACTTGTCAAAATAGGACTAATTCTTCTCATTCTTAAGTAACCTTTACAAAGTTAATGGATTATGTTCCTATTATAAGATATGAATGCAGTACTTGTTATTTAAATATTCTAACTATAAACAACTGCATTGGAGTCACTTTACATGAATTTTCCCCAAGGAGCAGGGCTGCTTCCACCATTAACCCGGGGAGGGAAGATGCCCAGGGGAGACCTTGACTCTCAGGACAGGGGCACTGCAAACAAACAGCCAAAGTTCTGTCCTTGCCAAGCAGTGGTGGTTTGTTCTTGCTTATATTGACCCAAACTTTGAACCATAGACTTAGCATTTGACAAATATGAGAAAGGCATCAGTTGAATACAGATTAAATAACTTTCAGAATAAAGTTATAAAGGAAGATTTGCAATTTGAGTCCATCCACAAATTTTGTATTACAATTAAGATTTCTATGATTACATCATTCAACTTTTGGCTTAGCAACTTTATAATCTGAAGGCAATGAAAAATCTCAGTGTCCAGAGCCGTAGTTTATCAGCTGTAGAAGACGTAGTTTTAATAAAGCATCAAATCCATGAAACAGTATATGTGAGACCTAATTCTTATGACTTTGTTTCTATTCAGGGAATTTTGTATTGAGGTATCGTTGGTAAGTGGGAAAGACTGACTTTTATGCAGTCTGTCAAAAGGCAGCATCGGACTCCTTTGAAAGGCTTTTCATTGTAATTTTCCATTTTAAAAAGTCCTTGCATTTGTAGGTGCTTTCTATTTTTTAAGTGCTTATGCCTGTTATCTTAATTTATCCTTATAGCCCTTTGACGTAGGTAGTGATGGAATTATTTCTAAAAGCAAAAACCCATAAAATGTTAGTAGGGAAATTAGCATAAACCTGCTGTCTCTAAGCCCTCTTTGTCCTTTTCCCCTCTCGTTGGTTTCCTAGTGCTGTGAAGCAGCTTTCCATTACATTCTGCTCAGATGACTTCCTTATTTGCCAGTTGGTCTAGTCACCGTGACTTTGACCTGGAACTCTCTCTCTGCTGCCTCCATGTGTGCCTCCTCAGTGCTCGTTTACACCGGCTGCTGTCCTCTGGCTCTTTGCTAAGCTCCCTACTTCCTTCTGCCTCTTTTGTCTCCAGACCATAACGGAGGGGGAAGTAGCCGCTCTGGGTTGTCCTTTCAGTTCTTCCCCTGACCTTCACCCTCTGTCCCCATGCCGCTTCCTCCAGAGCTCTTCCCCCACGGAGCCAGCCCTTTCCATGCCGTAGAAAAGCCAGCGGCCCAGCAGCCGGCTTGAGGAGGAGCTTTTCTTCTCAGCGAAATGAACACCCCTCTACTTTTAGACACCAAGGCCTGCGTGTTGCTGCAGCCTGGAGGCTCACGGGTACCCCCAGCTTGTCAGTGGCAGGCATGGGAGCAGTGCCCTCCTCAGGGGGCTCTTATCAGCTCCCCTCCTCGCCTGCTTTACGGCTGTTGTACAGTCCCAGGAGGTAGGTGATAGAGCTTTGAAAATTACAAGTGCCACACACATGCAGATAGGAGCAAGTTTGCCAAGAGCAGCCGCCGTCTGCGTGCAGTCCAACTGGCAACGGATGAGCTGGGCCCGAGCCTTTCGTAGTTCTCCATGTGCCTGGAATGGAATGAGCCTGAAGGGGCACTGAGCAGAGGAGTGGGCTCCTGCCAAGGGCAAAGTGACCTCCTTTCCCTCTCCAAAGGAAAACTGCATAAGCAAAAGCAGTTTGGACCCTGTGTTCAGAATCAGTTTTGCTAAGTTGACATCAAGTTTCAGAGTGTTGTCCTGAACTTACTCATTTTGATTGTTCACAAGATGCGTCCGGGGAGGAAGGTGTCATAGCAGCAAGGTAAGGGAGGTGGAAATGGATTCACTGAGAACAGAGGTCAGACAGCTTTGCAGTTCTTTGGCCTTGTCCTGCCCCACTGGGGAGGGAGCGAGTTGCCTTTACTCTATAAGCTGCCACTTAAATCCACTAGGGCTTTTCGTTAGCGAGCCTTTTGGGCTGCCTGCCCTGTCCGTCCCCACCTGCTGTCCACACTGCTTGTCTCCTTCCACACACTGACTTACTCCACACCAGGTCACTCCCACTCAGGATGTCTGGTTCCACTGACATTTGTTTACTAAAGACTACTGCTTGGGGTTGTCAGGGCATCATCAGTAGCAAACAGTTTTATTGTCTTTGTATTAACAGTGGCTGTGGTGAGCCAAAAAGTGCCCTCCACTCCATGTCCACATCCTACTCCTTGGAGCCTCTGACCATGTAACCTCACAGGGCAAAAGGCACTTTGCAGATGAGATTAAGTTAAGGATCTTGAGATGTGGAGATTATCCTGGATTATCTGATAGTCCCAGAGGGTTCTTATAAGAGGCAGCAGGGTGAGTCAGAGAAGAGTTGTGACAACAGAAGCAGAGTCAGAGCGATGCAGCCACCAGCCAAGGAGTGTGGAGACCTCTCGGCGCTGGAAAAGGCAAGGGAGAAATTCCTTCCTGAAGAAGAAATGAGCCCTGTGGACCCATGTTAGACTTCTGACCTGTACTGTTAAGCCACCACGCTTTTGTAACTTGTTACAAGGAGGGCATTAGGCTGCTAAGACAGTAGCCAAACTCAGGCTACAAGCTGTAGTTGACTCTGGTTGTAAGAGTAGCCCACACTGAAGAGCTGGGAGAGGAGCACTGAAGTGCACAGAGGTGATGTCGCCTCGAGTGAGGATGCACTCTGGAGGCTGGTCTTTGATCAGAAACAAAGGTCGAGAAGGCTACACTAAATAAACATACAGGTTTGAGTTCAGGGAATGGGGCCAAATACCAAATTTTAGAACTAGGCTATGCCCTTTGATACCACATAGAGATAAATTTAGAAAAAAATGAAAGAATTTGCTGCAGTAAGCAGCAGTAAAAGTTTCTAGAACCCATTTCTTTAAGAGGTGATGGGGGGGTGGGAAGGGATAGACTGGGATTTCAAAATTGTAGAATAGATAAACTAGATTATACTGTATAGCACAGGGAAATATATACAAGATCTTACGGTGGCTCACAGAGAAAAAGGTGTGACTATATATATGTTCATGTATAACTGAAAAATTGTGCTCTGCACTGGAATTTGACACAACATTGTAAAATGATTATAAATCCAAAAAAAATGGAAAAAAGAGAAGTGATAGAAACAAAATGTAAGTAATTGTGAAATAATTTTCATCAAAGTTACAGTGAAAGAGCTTTTAGAAATACTTTGGAGACATAATCCTCATCTTTTGACCAAAACATCTAATTGGTTCAATGAGTCTTGGTTTTGACCCACTATGGTAATTTGTGGGCTCTTAGGAGACCAGAATTATTATTCTAATCCTTGTGTGAGCCAGGGAACCTTGGACTGAAACTATTTTGTAATGTCTGCCTTTAGTCATAAAGGAGGCTCCTGGAGGCCCAAACCAGAATTTGAGAAAAAGAGCAATAGAGCTATGTTTTAAGAAGGAAAAAGAAAGGAAGAACATTTTTAACCAGTTTATTCACTCTGAAAAAAATCAAGGATCAATTTTTCCTCTTCTGCAGACAGAATAGAATTTATTGCAGTATATTATTAAAATTCCATTATGGCAAAAACAGGATGACCTTTTGTTGTTTTTAATAATAGCATTAGACCTGCAGGAAGCTAAATCTGATGAGAGAAGAGTGGCATTATAAAACAAAAAACTTTCAAAGTCTGCCACCATGCTCCCATTTAAAAGCACGCCGCAGAGAAGCGTGGGTGTGCCAGGTGCATCCCTGCCTGCACCTGCCCTCCTGCATGCGTGTGCCTGTTTACCCCATGTCCCGGCATGACACGTTTTTCATGCTATGCTGCTAGGAATCCTCAGGTATAGTATTAAAGGACTTGGCTTCGAAAGAGACTTGGACTCCTGTCCTGGCTCTGCTGCCTGGCTGTGCAAACTCAGAACCTCTCGTAGCTTTAGTTTGCTTGTCTGTGAAGGATGGATTTAAATGGTCCTAAGGCTTGTTCGAGCCCCAGTGCCTCAGTGCTTCCTGTTGTAAGAAAATGTGGGTTACGCTGTTGTCCCCTCACCCATGGCACTGCACCCATTTAATATGTGTTGACACTGGGGCCTTCTGCTGGGACAGGGGGAGGAGATCCTCCTCGTGTCCAACACCACCCCTCCCGGCCGTTGGCGTCCCCGTCTGAGAAGACATCCCACCTCAGTGCGAGTGAGCGGCCCGTGCTCCTCTGTGCTTTCTCTGGTCTCACATGGACTGTGGAAAGCAGGTTGGGGTGACCGTCTTTCCCATGAACACCCACTTCATTCTTGTAGCCTTCCTTGCAGGGATTGTATCATGTCTTGTCCCGGCATTGGGGTGAGGGTTGGAGGGGGCTCTGTATTTATTGAGACTTGATATTTAAGGGAAAATCATTCATCTTTTCTTCTCAAATTTTGTTCTTCTTTCAGATTGATTCATGGTGCAAAGATAATAGCTATGTGATTGCTGGTTATTATCAAGCTAATGAACGAGTAAAGGATGCCAGGTATGTCCATGCAGAACCCTCTGTGGTCTGACACGGTGATCCTGTGACCGAGACGATCTCTGAGGTGCTTTTCAACCTCTGTAGGCTCGGGGTGTGAATCTGTGAGAACAGAACCCCTCCTAGCCCCTGAGCTTACTTATAGTGTTCAAGGGGGACTAGGGTGTGGGTAATTCCAGAACAGCAAATTCTGTACATTTATATTAATGTTGGGATTCTGTCCTGTATCTTCTTTATTTTGCTTGAAGGGAATTCGTACAGTGAAAACAACAGTCAGGTCCTCCAGTTCCTGTCCCCACTCGCTGCGCCTGCTTCCCATTCCCAAACTAGGCCTCCTGCAGGGCAGAGCATTAGGAAAGAATACCACTCTCTTTTGGGGTAAATAAAGCAACTTTTAGGTGTGGTGCTCTTAGGGTCTGATACTTGGATGAAAATACGGTGTTTGCTGCTTCTTTCGTGCTAGGTCCTGGTTTCTTTTATACAGCTGTTTGCCTCCACTGTGGTTCTCACTAATGAACCAGGCTGAGAACTTTGCTTTATTTCCATGTCAAAGTCCCAGCAGAAAAACACATGAGACACTGAAGTAAGGATAATTTGAAGAGGGCTTAATAAGCGGATTGTTTCCAAAGGTGTAAAGGGTATGTAAGAACTCAGGAGAGGCTGGTGTGGTAACCCAAAGCTGGTGACAAAAGTTGGAACCTGCCCTGGCCTGGTGGGATGAGGAGGGGTGGGTCAGGCAGCCACCTCAGGAAGAGCGGTGCCCTTCGGTTGAGGGATACGACCAGCAGCCGGCCTGACGTGCCCTCCCGCAGGGAGGGTCCCAGGGGAATCAGCACCTCAGCCGCCCTCTGGTTTTCTCCAGCCAGAGGCCCGCACCTAGACACCCTCCCGCTGTCATCCAGCGCTGACTGAGTCCCGTGTCCAGGCGATAAGGGCATGCAGTGAAGGAGCCCAGACCCCAGTGCCTCCTGGGGTTGTGTGCCCCTGCCCAGCCTGGGCAAGAGATGGGGCTCAGTGGCATTTTTGGAAACAGTACAGAAAGTGACGAAGCCCTTCCGGGATGTAAGCCATGTTACCCTTGGAGGACTGGGCCCAGTCAGGACTCGGGGCAGCGGGGCCACCAGCACTGAGCTGGGCGCAGTGCAGCCCCTGCTCACAGCCTCTGCTGGGCGGCAGCGGCAGTGCCCTCTGGAGCCCGGGTCTCCAGCTTCTCCCACTCCCTCTCTGGCTCTTCTCTGTCTGTGCCCCAGGGGCCGCTGATTTCCCCTCTGGCGCATCTCTTATTAACTTCTCCTTCTGGGACCTTCTCTCCTTTTGATCCCACCTGCCTCCCGTGTGATGTGCTCGGGCCTGTTCATAGCCATGTCGGGCTTGGTCTTTGTTACATGAAAGAGATTGGCCGGGCACTGTGCTGAGCCAAGCTAGAGGCTTGGCCCTGGCCTCCAAGTTGCCAGATTGTGTATGAAAGGCACTGAAACTTAGGACTGTGGTGCGGGACAGGGGCCCTGTGCCGTGAGGGTAGTGTGGAGGGCTGTGCCCGCAGGAACAGGAAAGAATTAAATTCATTGGGGTGACCAGACAAGCCTTCAAGGAAGGGTGTCCTTTGAACTGGGCACTCGAGGGTGGGCACGGCCTGGTCGAGGGCAGACGTGGAGATGAGGAGGGAAGAGTGCCTGGGGAGGGGGCAGCGTGATGAAGACGCTGGCTGGAAACTGGCCGGAGTGGGGCGCGGCGGGAGGGGGGATCCGAGGGAGGCCTTCCACGTGATTCTGTAAGTGGTGGGGAGTTGTCCCGGTAGGTTTTCCTGAACCCAGCAAGTACTTCCCCGTAGCTGTTCGCGCAGGGAGAGGAGCCCAGGTGTGAGGTGATAGCACTGCTTGTCGAGTGAGTGTAGACGCCTCCCTTTCCTCCATTCCCCGGCCCCAGATCCACGCCTCACCCGGTCGCCCCGAGTGCACCTGCGCAGGCTGTCTGGTCCACGTGCCTCAGTTGGCTCATGGCCTCTTCATCTTCCCTCTTCTGTTTGGACCTCATTCCAGCCCAGCCTGGAATTACCTTACTCAGACACCATTTTCACACTAGTCACACCTTCTAGAACTTCCCAGTTCCCTCACCTGCTCTGCTTAGTAGGTCTTCGTTCTGTCACTGAAGTCAGTGTTTAAGTACCTACCAGCCGTAGGGGAGTCGAGCTGTAGAGGATGCTTGCGTGGTAAGAGGTGTGCCCAGTAACCCTGGCATCCCTGCTGACCAGGAGCCTGTGCCACACTTCAGGACCTAGCTCGCCCCTCCAGTGTGTCTGGAGGGAACCTCAAGTCCCTAATACCGTGCCAGCCTCAGGCTTTACTGGTGTCGTCCTTCCGAGTCCTCAAAAGGACACTCGGCTGAAGAAACCCCCACCAGAGTCGCTTCCTGCGCAGAAGCCACCCAGCTTGGAAGCTCAGGAGCTGGGATCAAGCAGCTTTCTTCTTCAGCACTGTTTGCTTCTACCTGCAAACCTTGCCTTCTGTCTCCAGCCACTCCGAGCTAAAATTTTGTTCCTCTTCTAGAAATAACAGCTGATTAACATTGTCTCACAGCATAAGCTTTGGAGCCAGGTGGACTTGGATTCAAGTCCTAGGTGACTTACTGAGTCACCTTCTTGGGCCTCAGTCGTCTTGTCTGTAAAATGGAACCACGAGTTCCTCCCTCAGAGAATGATTGTGAGGAGGGAGAGTGCAGCCACACGCAGCATGCTCAGCTTTGGGCTTGGTTCAGAGTAGAGGCTGAGACTAGTCCTAGTCCTGTGATTACTTTTTCAAAGAAAGGATCACTCAGTGTTTTAATCTGATAAAAAGAAATGTAAGGTGTTTAAAGTTGTACTCATTTCCTAAGCTTCAGGTCATCCCATCAAGTTTTATTGTGTCATTTCAGAATTGCTAGTGCTTTGCTTCACAGCTGGCATTTCATGTGGGTAGATGTCCCTGACAGGTGCAGTACCCTGGCCTGAAGAAGACACTCAGCACAGAGCTTTTAGATGTCAATGTGAGGTCTCAATCACAAGTTAATGCCTGAGTTTGTGCTGGTTGGGAAGGGGATTGGCAAAGAGGTTTCCCTCTCCAGGGTCCCCACAGTCTTATTTGGGAGCTGACTCTTCAGTGAACAAGGCTCTGTCCAGCCTAGGAGGAAGCAAAGTTCTGACTTGAGTACCATAACGTGAGGAGCGTGCGTTAGGAATAGAGCAGGTTGGTGTTTGAGACTAAGCGTGTAACACAAAAAGTAAACAGAATTGGTAATTCTTTGAAATACTGTGGCAAGTCATTAGCTATAAGTTTTAACTTCTTTCAAAAGAATACATGTTAAATTTGAGTTTGGGGGCATCTGAAATGGTGGTTGTTTTTAATAAATGTATTTTGATCCTCTTCCCAATAAAATCACCATGTACTGTGATAATTATAATGTTAGGATAGTAGTTTTGCAAGGTTCTTCATGGCAGATGCCTCTAGGGGGAAGAGCATGCTCTCAGCAAATGCCGGCTTTGTTTCTCTTTGCACCTGAGGTGTGAGTGAGTGAGGACCCACAGCAATGCAGGAGCGGTCGGGGTGTGCCTTTTCCACCATTGGCGTGGACGAATAAGCAGGTCTCTTCCCACAGCTCTGTTTCTGCTCCTCGCTGCCAGCCGTCTGAGCTGTGGGGACGCAGCTGTGCCGACTCCAGGAAAGGGCTGCCTCCACTTTGAGAGCTTTCTAGGGTGACCTGAGGGACACGAATCCCTGGGGCCCTTCCTATATTAAACTGGTACTGCAAATATATATTCACACATCTCTCTCTGTAAGTTCTCAATTTTGAAATTGAAAATAGAATAATGAGATAATTTATTTTTATAAAGCATTAAACCTGCTTTTTTTTTTCACCTCAACCACAAGGAAAGGATTATAATTATATAGTGTGTTTCCTTAAATAAACTCGAATAATCAATGTATTTTTATGGCCATGAAAATACATATGGCTCAGTCCTGCTTCAAAAAGCCGAGACTCTGCTTGTACGTGGAAAATAAGATGCACACAAAAGACAACTGCATACCAAGGAGTAAGTGTTTAGAGAAGGGACAAATGGACCCCACCTGGGATAGCTTGGCAAGACGTCCAGAGAGGATGGTGTTTTCTGGGCATTAAAGGTGGAAGGAATTCAGTGAGCAGAGACGGGCACAGAAGTGCATTCCAAACAGGGAACAGTATGAGTGATGCGGGAGGGAAGGGTGTGTGAGGGAGATGCTGTGTAAACAGTTTACTGAAATTGAAGGGACACAGAGCATTGCTCCTGGGAGTAGGAACAGTGGCTGGTCCATGGGTGAGAGAGGCCAGATCTGCCGGGCTGAGGACAGTGGGCGTTTATCTTAGAAGCTGATGGTGAGAGCCAGGGGAACATGATGGAAGTTTCATTTCAAGAAAATGATTCTAGAGACAGTTTTCAGAATACCTCATGTAAGAAGAGCCTAGAAATTGAGAGCAGGTAGGAAGCAACTTTAGAAACCCCTGCCTATGGTGACAGCCTGGAGGAAACGGGTGGCAGGGAGAATGAAGGCAGCAGAGGCAGGGGGAGAATCTGCAGTACCTGCTGGGGGGCTGGCAGAAAGTGGGACGTCTCCTCGGTCAGGGAGACTGAAAGTAAGCGGGCCTGCCTGCAGCGATTCCAGCTGGGAGGCCTTGGGAGCGTGGCGGGTGGCAGGGGGGCTTCAGGGGTGCTGACCCTCAGCTGACCGGGCAGGGCGGACACCAGGTTGCAGGTGTGGTGAGGAAATGGAGTGAGAGGGACAAGATGCCAGCCTATTAAGTTGAAGAAGTATGGTTGAAAGGGAGAAGAGACATTGGATGGTGGCTTGGAGAGAACTAGTTACATTTTTTTTTTGTCCTAAAGAGGAAGAGGCTTAGATGTGACAGCAGAGCTGGGCCCACGGCGGAGGACAAGGTGGGGTATAAATAAGGCCCCCGAGGGGGAGGCTGAGTGTGGATGGGCCTCTGGGGGGAGGAGGCCTCTTCCTGGACAGGACAGAGACAGAACTTTGTGTCTGGAGGGTCGTGCGGGGGTGATGTGGGAGCCAGTCTCCAGGTCACTTTATCAACTTGCCTTATGATGGAAAGTTGTCATTTGTCAGGGTTGGGATGGGGCACAGGGCCACGGCTGACAAGCACAGAGAAGCTTTGGAATGGCTTAGGAATTTAAAAAAAATTTTTTTTAAAAAGCAAGTGACACAGTAAGAAGTGAATGCGAGCACAGGTGGAGAAGCAGCGCAGGTGGAGGTGGGGGGCAGAGGGCTCCGAGGTTAGGGCCGTGTGCCCTGGGGGCGCTCTCCACCAGGTTCCAGGGAGCCTTTCTGTTTAGAAGCCACCCTTTCAAGATCCGCTCCACCTCAGATTCCTGGTGAGGGAGGGCAAGGGAGCTGCTACACTGTGCTTGCCCTCCCAGTGTCCCCTGCCCCCACAAGTCACTGCGGCAGGACCGAGGTCACCAAAAGCTACTCAAATGGGTGTAACAAGCACAGGCAGTTTATCGGCGCTGTTGGCCTTTGTATCCTTGCTAACTCTGCCAGGCGGACAGCTGAGCAGCCTCAACTAGAACACGGTAAACTCGCTGATTTCCTCTTTCACAGTCCAAACCAGGTTGCAGAGAAGGTGGCCTCCAGGATCGCCGAGGGCTTCAGCGATACAGCTCTCATCATGGTGAGTCCCTTCCCCGGGGCTTCCGTGTGCAGGGGCGCTGCTGAGCGGCCCCTTGCCAGCAGGAGGCTTTATCATGTGAGTGGTCTTCCTTTCTGCGGGGACTTCAGACTGTGGCGCACTCTGCGTCCTGCGTCCCCTCCCGGCTGCAGACTTAAAGCTGCTGGGACATAGGCCACTGTAGCCACAGCACACGGATTTCCAAAGGTGGGGGTCATTCGACCCCAGCAGCTCTCCAGGTGAGGTCCCCACGCCGGCAGTGTCAGTACCGCCTGGAAATTTGTTGGAAATGGAGATTCTAGGGCCTTGTGGCCTGTTTTAATAAGCGACCCGGTGATTCTGATGCGTGCTCCAGTGTGAGGACTGTCGGATTAGATGGGCCGGCACAGTCGTGGGAGGAGGGGAGTCGGGTGGATGGGTAATGGATGTCAGAGCCTTGTCCATCTCCATTCAGGTGGAATTCTAACAGGGAAGCAAAGTAACGCATGGAAGCTTCGCGTTTGTGAAAAAGCAATTAAGTACTTAGCGTTTATCCTGTCCAGCACCCCGTGCGGCAGGCCCCGCTGGTGCGCCGTGGAGTCAGATTCGCAGCGCCGGGCACTGAGCCGAGGTTTGCGCCACGGGCAGTGTTGACATTGCTCTGGGAGAGCCAAGGAGGTGCCTGTGACTTGCAGAAAGGTGCCGCCGCTGTTCACAAGCATGTCCTTTGTCTTGTCACAGGTCGACAACACCAAGTTTACGATGGACTGCGTGGTACCTACGATCCATGTGTACGAACACCACGAAAACAAATGGCGCTGCAGAGACCCACACTAGTGAGTGCCGTGCGCCGGGGATGGCCGCTCAGGCACCCAGCTCGCACGGGAAAGCTGGCCCCAGCCTCCTGGGTTTTTAAGTTAATGTGTTCTCTAGAGGAGTGTGCAAACTGACACAGAAACTATGCATGTTCCCCGGCTCCTGGGATACAGGCCTGTAGGGTTTCCAAGCGGTAAAGAGAAAGTGAGTGTTACTCAAGGGTCTTCCCTCCCCAGCCCCAGGGCACCTCTCCCCAAGCCATACCTCCTTTGCAGGCATTTGGTTTGGTTTATTTGTAATCAGTCAGAAGGCATCAGTCATCTGCCTCCATTTTTTTCAGAATTTCACTTGGAGGGCATCTCATGTGTATATCTCTATGTACATCTTCATGTGTTTATTTGGACATGTTGGCTCATGTTCTTTATTGTCTTCCTTTGCACCACTCTGCATGTGGTACTCTTTTGAAAGCCACCTGTTTTCATTAAGGGGTTGATTTCTCCTGTTTCACCTCGTAGTGATTACTGTGAAGACTGGCCGGAGGCCCAGAGGATCTCAGCATCGCTCCTGGACAGCCGGTCTTACGAAACGCTCGTGGATTTTGATAACCACCTGGATGACATTCGGAATGACTGGACAAACCCAGAGATCAATAAAGCTGTTCTGCATCTGTGTTAGGGAGGGGTTTCAGTGACTGGTCTCTGGGCACTTCCACTACACTGAAGAAGAAAAGCTATTTTTAAATGTAAATAAAGTATCTCATAGCCTGTGTGGAAAGCTGACAGTTCTCAGAAGTGGCCTGTGCCTTGAAAGAGGGCAGAATGTCCCATCAGTCATCTTTCTAATGCAAAGTCTCTAGAACAGGTACAGAGTCTCCAATCTGACCATCCCTGTGGAGTCCTTCCCAGCTGTACGTTGCTAAAATTCTCCGAATCAAAGCTATTTCTGCTTGTCCAAGATTGTTCCTATTAAACAGTTTTAACTAATCTTTTATAATCTGGAGAGAATACTTTTTAAGCTTATGAACTATCTTTTAAAAAACCTAAACAAACAAACAAAAAACCCATGTCTTATACGCAAATGAGAGTGTGAGTTTTCATCCTGTTTGAGTTAACGTCGTCCAGTCCTGGGATCGGGCCGGCGCGTGGCGCGCCGGTGCCGAGCCATGCCTGAGAACCCGTGAGCTGGTGTCAGAGGCTGCAGCCACAGACAGCACTGCCCCACCTGGTGCCAGGCTCTCGTAGCTACTGCAACTCTACACGTGGGAATAATGCCACTGTTGCCTGAGAAACCTTCATCGTTCAGGGTAAAAACCAACATCGTTGAGAAGGCAGCTTGGATAGGAGCCCAGTATAATGCTTCTCAACCAGAAAGTTGGGAAACCTTTGGAACCAGAAAGGAAAAATGGAACTGTGCTAAGATTATCTTAAAAAGGCAGGACTCAGTCCTAACTCCCAACTGACTTGCATGATTATCCAAATGGTTCTAATTTTTGTCTTCAAAACAGTTGTTTTGTATTTGAAGCAACAGAAGCAAAACAGAACTTAGGCTCCATGAGTTTCACAGCATGCTGTCGGGAAGTGTACTTGAAACATTTGGTCAGGCTTTTTAACCCAGCCATAGGAAATTGATGGGGGAATGTTATGGTTCCGTTGCAGCTTTTTCTTTTATATGAATTATTTCGTGCAGAGTTCACAGAACCATACCTTTGCTGCTGTCTTGTAACAATTGGCGTGATCTGTTGAAAGGGTTTATGACAGCGTTCATTATTTTTTCTTAACAAGTAGGAAAAACATTTCAGACATTGGTTATAATACATGCACTTTATTTGATCCACCAAATTCTCTTTCTTCAAACACCTCTTTAACTTTGTAAACTGACTGTATTTCACGTGGGGAACACATGTGAAGGGTGGTGGGTCAATGCACTTTATCTTTTTCACTCTCCTCGCTGTGGGTGCCAGGACCACCACAGATGGAGTGCAGTGGACAGTCTCATTCCAGATGGGTTTGTGTTTGTTTCAAACAAGAGAAGAATCATCTCCAGCATTTACCACAGAGAAGGCTGTCTTTCCCTGGGTTTAAAACAAACATGGGCTCCCTCCAGTTCAGGGTCAAAGGGAACTGGCAGAGCTATCTGGAATCACAGGTGTGGCCAAGGCTAGTTTTGGAGGCATTGCAAACATAGACTATTATTTTCCCTCATTTTCATCTCTTTGTGGAATTCTTGTTCTTGATTCTCCCACCAGCTTCCCAGGAACATGTGCCCCTCTCCAGTTTGGATTTCAGCCTGGAACCGGGTGCCCTTTCTGTGGCTGAGTCAGGCTTACATTTTCAGAAGAAAGCATATTAAGTACTCCAGAGGGAAGAATGCATCTGTGAAAAGACAAAAGCAGATTTCCAAAGTGCAGATACCTGCTCCTGGATGCTTGTAAAATTAGCAAAAGCCTCTGCCGAGCACCCAGCCCTCTTCCCGAGCCTTGCTGTGTGGGCGCTGGACCTGCAGTCTCCTTGGCCCTGAGACTGTCTTCACTTTCCCTACCCAGAATAAAAATGAGAGCCTGTCAGATAGCCACTGGAATGGATTCATACTCTGCTTTTTCATAGAAAAGACTTAAAAAGGAACAGCAGAAAGTACATTTGTGCATTGAAGAAATCTTTGTCAATCAAAATGTTCCTAAATATTTCTTCCGTACTTAACCTCTGAAGGGATTGGAGGGCCGGGGGGGTGTGTTGAGATGCCCCTCCCCTTAGAACCAGCCATGTGCTTAAAGTCATACTGGTGGGCATTTTTCTCCCATGGCATTCATCCGTCATGAGTGAGTAGGACAAGTGAATTACCGATTTACATAAAAATGCCGTTTTCCATGTCTAATCGTGGTTGCTTTTAAGAACTGAGAATACTAAACATGAAAAAGTAGGCTGTGACTTCTTAAAGAACAGAAAAGCAGTGTGCGTCCTAAGGAAAAGTTGATCTTGTTAATTCTAATGAAATTAGATTGACCTAGAATAAAAAACGACTTAGAACTATCTTGAGCAATTTAAATCTTCCAGGGATCTGGTATTTTTAAGCCTCCTCAGTGTAAAAAGTTCTGTATAATTAGCTTTGATTTGATAGCTTATTTTTCTGATTGATGTACTTGGAAAGCTATTGTTCCTACACGTAATTTTCAGCTTTTCTGACCTACCTTTTTTGTTTTGCCTTCAAAAGAAAAATACTTGCTTCTAAAACTGCCCCTTTTTAGTTTCATGTCTGTCTTAACATAGTAGCTGCTTTATGACATCGTGGTGAGTGGAAGCAAGAAAAATCGCCTGCACATTAATCTCCATGCCCTGCAGACATCTTTAGCCCTTTTAATGAAAAGAGCTGAATTTTAAAATAGACTTTGGTTTTGTTAATTGACATTTCTTGAGACTTCCCATCAACTCAGTGCCTCTCAAGCACTGGGTTTTTTCTTCAGTTCATTAGAAAGCTTGGCAGCAAATGTCAGTTTGTGTTCCCCCTGACAACTCTCAGAGAGGTGGTTTGTTACTCTAACTTACCTCCAGACACTTCAGAATCTAGGGCATAACTTAAATATTTGTGTCCTCGTAACGTTGACATGTTACTCCTTGAAATGCTTAAGATATCCTTGAATGGGATACAAAGTCTGATCAGGTTTTGCATTTCTCTGAAATAAATCCCCATTCTTCTACAGAGCTTTTTTTTTCCTTAAAGATTAACTTCTTGGGATCTAGTCCAGCTTTAGAACTGCCAGAAGCTGTGTTCCCCTTGGTCTTCTGCTTTCAAAGTATGTGACAAGTGCCAGCAGAACATCCACGTCAGCTTGACTGGAGGGAACCTTTGGCTTGAACTTGTGTTGCCAAATAAGGCAAACGAGCATCGTTTATTTGGTGCTGTCTGAAAAGAGTTCCAGATACCATCAGTAAGGCTATAGTAAACAAGTGCGTTTCACAATACAGGCACACCTCGGAGATGTGGGTCCAGATCCAGGCCCCTGAAATAAAGCACATACCACAATAAAGTGAGTCACGTGAATTTTTTGGTTTCCCAATGCATACGGAAGTTATGTTTACACTATACTGTGGTCTGTTAAGTCTGCAACACATTGTACCTGAAAAGAACGGTGTACGTACCTTAATTTTAAAATACTTCATTGCTGAAACATACTATCTTCTGAGCCTTCAGCGAGTCATAATCTTTTTGCTGGTGGAGGGTTCTTGTTTCAGTGTTGGTGGCCAGCTGATCAGGGTGTCTCCTGAATGTTCGGGTGGCTGCAGCAGTTTCTTAAAATGGGACAACAGTGACGTTTGCTGCATGGACTGACTTCATAAACAATCTCTCTTCTCCACGAAGTGCTGTGTGATACAGCATTTTACCCACAGTGAACTTTCAAAACTGGAATCAGTCCTTTCAAACCCTGCTTTATCAACTAAGTTGATGTAATGTTCTACATCCTTTGTTGTCATTTCAGCTGTCTTCACAGCATCTTCATCAAGAGTAGATTTCATCTCAAGAAACCACTTTCTTTGTTCTCTCAGCTCTCTCAGTATGTTCACCACGTTTGCTGTTACTTCCTCCA